TCTCAAAGACTTTATTAGGATGAAATCCAAATTATCTATCATTATAAAGCAAAGCACTTCACAAATTGATATTTAGCTACTTCTATAAGTCATTACTACCCTTATCTGACACAGAACATGTACAATTTTACTTCATTATTTCATCTTTGTACATGAAGTTGCCTCACCTAAAAATGTCCCTTACTCCCTCCTCATCCTTTCTCTGGATGCCTTCCACAGGTCCAAAGATACTCCTGTTGGACACCTCCTACTGAGCCTTTTCTGGTAAGTCCTCCTTGAAGGTTTCATAGCTGGGATAAGTACCACTCACCTCTTCTAGATATGTCAAAGTTGATTTTCCTTAGAGTTCAAACCTCATACCTTTTCTTTGGTTGTTGCTATTCAGTTGCTAAGTCTGACTTAGCAAGAGTCTGACTCTTTGCGACCCCATGGACTGCAGGCTTCCCTATTCTTCAGTTTTTCTCTATCTATATTCAATTCCCAGCAGAAAGCCCGCTCCATGGTATTAAATACCATCTTTATATATATATATGAGTTTTAAAGTTTTATGTACAACTATGACTTTATCGTGTCAATTTAATATCTCTATGATAAATGACACTAACTACTTCAAACATAATATATTAAAAATGGAAATCTTGATTCTACTGCTACTCTCCAAACCTGTTATTTTCTCGCTGTTCCCTATCTTAGGTAATGGCATCACCACTCATCTAGTTTGCTTAGTTTAAATATCTTGGAATAATTTTTGACTCCATACTTTCTCTTATAACCTCATACCCAATCTAGCAGTAAAACTTGCCATCTCTACCTTCAAAAATATTTCTTTACACTTCTATCCCTGCTACTATAGTCCAAATGATCGGTCTCTCTTACCTAGACTACTGTAATGACCTTCAAATTGGGCTCCTTCTTCTACTCTTACTGACCTATCCTATATTTTCCACATTGCAACCAGTGTTATCCATTATAAAATCAGGTTATCACCACCATTTCCAGTCTTCTTATAGCCTCATATTTCATTTCAAATAAAATAAAAAATACTTACTGTGGCCTAAAATCCAGAAATCATATGATTCCTAACAATCTTGTCTCTTACAATTCCTACCACAAATGATACATACAGCATTGCCAGACTGACCCCTCTGCATACTGACCACGGTGAATACATAATACCTTCTACTATACTGTAACTTCCGACATGCATGCATGAGTGCCTGCTAAGAGTCACTTCAGTCTTGTCTGACTCTTTGAGACCCTATGAATTGCACCCTGTCAGGCTCCTCTGTCCATGGGATACTCCAGGCAAGAATACTGGAGTGGGTTACCATGCCCTCCTCCAGGGGATCTTCCCGACCCACTTCTACATCTCTTGCATTGGCAGGTGGGTTCTTTACCACTAAAGCCACCTAGGAAGACCTAGCTCTGACTAGAATGCTTATCTATCAGAAATCCAAGTGATTCAATTTCTGATTTCATTCAGATCATTTCTTTTTCTTTCTAGTTCTTAACACTACCTGATACTTTATTAAATTTTTTGTTTGTGTGTCATCTATCATCACTAGAATATAAGCTATGTAAAGCCAGGAGACTGGTTTCCTGCCCGGTATGTAACAGATGCTTTATAAAAACTTTTAGAATAAGGGAGAAGTTTAATGTATTTATTGTATTATTCTAGCATTTTGTTTTGCACAGTTCTTTACAGAATTTACAGTGACTGTCTTCCCTATAGATTATAAACTCTAAACTAAAGAACTAAGTATTTTCTCTTCTTCTACCCCAAACTCTACCTTATTTAATAGTAGGTACACAGGCAATGTTTATGATGTAAAATACCTTCATTTTATTTTGTAAGTGAGTGAGGGAATTCTTATAAACAAGGAAAGCTAAGAATATCAGCTTGATTAGGTCACATATGGTAAAAACAAGAAGGAACTCTGCAAGAAAATACCTTGAAGACCTTCTGATTATTTTTGCCCCATTTTCAGCATTAAGGTTTCCATCTGCAAGGGGAAGTTTTCTGGAAACAGTAGCTTAGGAAAATACACAATATGAAGCTCTTATAATTGCCATGTTTATACTGAGTTCTGGGTTAGCTGCTTTGAACCAGTCCTGGTAAAAATAAGCCTTCAATGTGTTTTAAGAAATCAGTGTTTCCAATAAGCACTGTCAACATGACCTTTAGTGGTCTCCAGAAATTCTCCTTTACTAAGTATTTAACTGGCTGCTCAACCTCTATGCCTTCCTGTCTGCCTTTAATTTTCCCTCAGCAATTTTAATGCTGGAACAACAGCAAAATACATAAGTCATCCTCTGGGAGTATTTCTAACCATAATTTGAAAAGCCCTTGAAATAAGAAAATTAAAATGGGTTAGAGGAAGAATAGTAGTACATATTACATATTCGTATATACATATGTATGTAATTATATTACATACATAGAGTAAACAACTAAAAATGCACATCACATTCTCTCTCCTATTTTCTATTCAACACTCAACTGTAAGTCCCCACCTCATTTTCTTTCATGGAGAAATTTTGGATTCCACATGTAGAAATCATGTAGAAATACTTTTTGATAAAATTATTACCCATGTTCCATAACAATGATAATATTTAAGAATACTTATAATTCCTATTAAATTACCTAAGGAAAGTCATCCTGAAACTCTTAAATTTCTTGTCATATTTTCATATTAACACTTGGGGCCTCTCGATAAAATAAGTCTATCCCTCACTAAAAGAGAATCAATATTAATACAATGAGACATTATTGAAAAGTTTACAAGCTACAAATATAAACCATGTATAATGAATTCTATTGTAAGTAATTTTATAGATAATTTGAAATAATCCAAGGTCACATCATAAATGTGTAACTCATCTAGCAGTCAATTTAATGATAAACATAGAGAAAGAATACATCGGTTGTTACACATCCCATTTTTTCCTTATTTTCAGCTTCACTGAAAACAAAATCATAAGATATTTAAAACTATACATTGTGGTGACCTAATATGCGAAGAGTTGACTCAATGGAAAAGACCCTGATGCTGGGAGTGGTTGGGGGCAGGAGGAGAAGGGGACGACAGAGGATGAGATGGCTGGATGGCATCACCGACTCGATGGGCATGAGTCTGAGTAAACTCCAGGAGTTGGTGATGGACAGGGAGGCCTGGCGTGCTGCGATTCATGGGGTCGCAAAGAGTCGGACACGACTGAGTGATTGAACTGAACTGAACTGAATATGCATATATATTGTGAGAGGATTTCTTTGCCATCATCTAGTTATTTAACACATTCATCACCTCACATACTACCTTTTTTTCTATAAGAACATTTAAGTTCTATTTTCTTAGCACCTATTATACAATACAGTACTATCAACTACAGAAACCATGCTTTACATTAGCTCCTTAGCTCTTTTTCCTCTTAAAGCTGAAAGTCTGTTCCTCCTTACCAACTTCTCTCTATTGCCTAATCCACTCTTCTAGTACCTGGCAACCACTTTTCTACTAATTTTTTAAAAACTTTTCTACATACAAAGGCAGTAATTATCCTTCTCGGTGTGGCTTATTTTCCTTAGCATAATGCCCATCTACATTATCACAAATAGTAGGATGTCCTTATTTTTCATAACTGAATAATATTCATATATATATACATATAGATATCAATACATATACAGAGAATACATGTGTGTGCATGTGTATACATATATATATAACATTTCTTTATCCACTTATCTGAAGACTGTTTCCATATCATGGCTATTGTGATTATTCCTGCAATGAACACGAAACAATATATAACTCTGAAATACAATTTTCCAATTTCTTTGAACACACACCCAGAAGCAGAATTGCCAGGTCATACGGTTCCTCAAGAGATTACAAGCTCTATTTGTAATCTCTTGAGGAATCTCCACACTGTTTTCCATAGTGGCTATATCAATTTACATTCCCACCAACAGTGTACATGTGTTCCCTTTACTACATATCCTTGCCAGTATTTATCATCTCTTGTATTTTTACTGATAGCTATTCTAACACGTGGGATGAATTATCACATTGTGATTTTGATTTACTTTTATTGAAAAGACCATCCCTTCCTCATTATACATTCTTGGCTGTTTTGTATTAAATTAATTGACCATATATGCATGTTTATTTCTGGGCTCTGCAATCTGTTTCATTGATCTTTATCTCTGTTTTTATGTCAATACCATACCATTCTGATCACTAGAGCTTTATAATACATTTTGAAATCAGACCGTGTAATGCTTCTAGCTTTGTTCTCCTCTCTCAAGATTGCTTTGGACAGGTTCTTTCACATCTTTTTTCTTAGGAAAAAAGTAGATCATACCAACAATTTTTATATCTCATAAAATATGATAAGCAACATGAATCAAATTTGATTTGTACTCTTAAATCTATTCTCAAGGGAAGGTACCAATAAAGAGAAAAAAAGAACAAAATTTCAACTCTATAACTTCATATTTAATTCATATCAACTTCTGGATTTCAAAACATATACTTGCTCCAAAACTGAAATCATCAAATAATAAGAATAACAACAGAATCCGAAAACATCATGTTCTAGTAAGGTTAAAAAAAAAAAGACCAAAAAAAAAAAATTTAAAAAAAAAAAGACTAAAAATAGGACACAGAGAAGAGAAGATGGCTAAATTAAAATTTTAATTGCTGTTGATTTCAGCTATAACCACCATTTCCTAGACCAAACTTAAGACTTCTTGAATGCCAGGCAGTCAATAGAGGAAAACAGTCATTTTTATGTATGAAATATAAGGAAGACTCAGTGAATATAACTATAGACCCTTTTTAAACACCCCAAAACAAGCACTGGTATTTGTTTCCCTAAGGAAATAATAAGGACTTACTCTCAAGACCATGAGTGACTTATGGGCCAAACAAAGCCAGGTTAGGTATGATGCCCCGGCTCACCAAAAGCACTTCTAGAGCACTGCAGGGCTTCCTCACCTTAAAAGTCGTGGTGCCGTACAGCTTGGTAGTGTGGACTGTCTCTGGAAGGACATTAGTGATATTGGTGATAAATTCTTCCAAGTACTTACAGGATTTCTCCAAGTGTGTTGTATTGATAATAATCTGGACAAGCTAGAAAAGAACAAGAACATGTAAGGTCATTTGACTATTTAACCTTGGATGCATGGCTCATTATGAATCTGCTGGTACAAGAAAAACAAAAGGCATGATGACAGAGGCCATCTGTATTCTATAAAAGTTATTGTGAAAGCACAGGATTAGGTATCACTTCCTCTATGAAGACTTCCCTGACTTCCCAAAGAATCTAGCATTCCCCCTACTATAGGAGTAATTGTTACTATTTTAAACTCGTATCTTTGGTTCAAAATAAAGACTCAGTTCAGTTTCAGTTCAGTCGCTCCGTTGTGTCCGACTCTGTGACCCCGTGAACCGCAGCACGCCAGGCCTCCCTGTTCATCACCAACTCCCCGAGTCCACCCAAACCCATGTCGGTTGAGTCAGTGATGCCATCCAACTATCTCATCCACTGTTGTCCCCTTCTCCTCCTGCCCTCTATCTTTCCCAGCATCAGGGTCTTTTCAAATGAGTCAGCTCTTCGTATCAGGTGACCAAGTACTGGAGTTTCAGCTTCAACACCACTCCTTCCAATGAACACCCAGGACTGATTTGCTTGGATTTGTTTGGATCTCCTTGCAGTCCAAGGGACTCTCAAGAGTCTCCTCCAACACCATAGTTCAAAAGCATCAATTCTTCAGCGCTCAGCTTTCTTCACAGTCCAACTCTCACATCCATACATGACCACTGGAAAAACCATAGCCTTGACCAGACGGACCTTTGTTGACAAAGTAATGTCACTGCTTTTCAATATGCTGCTAGGTTGGTCATAACTTTCTTTCCAAGGAGTAAGCGTCTTTTAATTTCATGGCTGCAATCACCATCTGCAGTAATTTTGGAGCCCAGAAAAATAAAGTCAGCCACTGTTTCCACTGTTTCCCCATCTATTTGCCATGAAATGATGGGACCAGATGCCATGATCTTAGTTTTCTGAATGTTGTGCTTTAAGCCAACTTTTTCACTCTCCTCTTTTACTTTCATCAAGAGGCTCTTTAGCTCTTCTTCACTTTCTGCCATAAGGCTGGTGTCATCTGCATATCTGAGGTTATTGATATTTCTCCTGGCAATCTTGATTCCAGCCTGTGCTTCCTCCAGCCCAGCGTTTCTCATGATGTACTCTGCATATAAGTTAGATAAGCAGGGTGACAATATACAGCCTTGACGTACTCCTTTTCCTATTTGGAACCAGTCTTATTGTTCCATGTTCAGTTCTAACTGTTGCTTCCTGACCTGCATACAAGTTTCTCTAGAGGCAGGTCAGGTGGTTTGCTAGTTCCATCTCTTTCAAGGCTAAGATAAAAAACTGATAGTATTTAGCATACAACCTGGAAATAAATAATTGTCAAATGAATAAAATAAACTCCCATTAAAAGAACAAGAATGACTGAAATGACAGTAAGTTTCAAAATAAGGCACAATGAACATAGGAATTTTGGAACAGTTGCAGTATATAAACAAACTACATCAGCTTCTATGAAAGAAAAAAACATGAGAACGGGAGTCAGAGAAACCAGGGAGCAACTACTTACAAATTGTTGATACTGACAAAGTTTCTTGTCTTCTCTAAGTCTATTTATTTAATTGTAAAATATTAATAATAATTTCTAACTCACACTTATTATGAAGACTAAATATTCTTTTGTTAATATTATTTTCCTTTTCTTACAGAAGAGATCCTTAAAGAAGGCAGTACTGGTAAGATAAAAAGCCATCTGTAAATTTCTTCGAGAGCAGGATAAAGAAGAAAACTGTTGCCAGTAGAATTAAACTTTCTAAACCACTTCACAGTTCATTTTCTTACATCACCCTCCTAGCAACCTGAAGAGGTAAGTGGGCATAATTATTACTTCCATTCTACAGTAAGAGAAACAAAAAATGAAATTAAACTGGGATTCAAATCCAAGTCATCAACCTTCAAATTATGGTCTCATCTTAATGATTTCAGACAGTGCCTCTTAGCATAAGCTAAGACTGCAGCCCTGGAATACTACATTGTTATGTATATTAGGCTGAAATATCAGATTCAGGGGCTGACATCAACTATACATCTCCATGCTTTGATTCTACCGTATGTAAAAAATTAAGTTAAATTTTTTAATGACTGATACCTACTATGTATTTCAGCTATAAAAAACTATTCACATTCCTGAGCCAAAAAGAAACACAAAGAGAAAGTAAAATGGAACCCTTTTTTACCTTTCTTTTCAACATCTTTAACTTTTCATTTTCACAAGAATATGTCTAGGGATAGGGTTGTGGTAGGCAAGGGAGTTTTGGTGTTTAAGGCTATGAAAGAACTTGTATCTTCTTTCAGTCTAGTGAGATAATGATTCAGAGAAGACTGAGTAGATGACAGAAGGGGAAAATTGGAGTTAAAGATGAAGGGAGGTACTACACATTTTTAAAATCAAATAATATTCCAAAACAATGTTTAAAAGATGGAATTGTACTCCAGTAAAAGTGACTGCATTAAGCTGTGGAATAATAAATTAAATTATCAATAGGACCATAATCAGAAATACTAAAGAGTTTGATTGTGTGGATCACAACAAATTTTGGAAAATTCTTAAAGAGATGTGAGTACCAGACCATCTTACCTGTCTCCTGAGAAACTTGTATACAGGTCAGGAAGCAACAGTTAGAACCAGGGACAGAACAACAGACTGGTTCAAAACTGCGAAAGGAGTATGTCAAGGCTATGTATTGTCACCTTGCTTATTTAACTTATGTGCAGAGTACATCATGAGAAATGCCCAGCTGGATGAAACACAAGCTAGAATGAAGATTGCTGAGAGAAATATCAACAACCTCAGATATGCTAATGATAACACTCTAATGGCAGAAAGTGAAGAGGAACTAAACAGCCTCTTGATGAAGATAAAAGAGAAGAGTGAAAAAGCTGGCTTAAACCTTAACATTCAAAGAACTAAGATCATGGCATCCCATCCCATCACTTCATGTCAAATAGAAGGGGAAAAAGTGACAGTTTTTATTTTCTTGGACTGCAAAATCACAGCGGACAGTGATTGCAGCTATGAAATTAAAAGACACTTGTTCCTTAGAAGGAAACCGATGATAAACCTAGACAGTGTATTCAAAAGCAGAGACATCACTTTGCTGACAAAGGTCCATATAGCCAAAGCTATGGTTTTTCTAGTAGTCATATACGGATGTGAAAGTTGGACCATAAAGAAGGCTGAAGAATTGATGCTTTCTAATTGTGGTGTTGGAGAGGATTCTTGAGAGTCCTTTGGACAGCAAGGAGATCAAACCAATCAGTCCTAAAGGATATCAAGGCTGAATATTCTATTCATTGGAAGTACTGATGCTGAAGATGAAGCTCCAATTGAAAAACCTGCTTATTGGAAAAGACCCTGCTGCTGGTAGAGCTTGAAGGCAAACCAGAAGGGGGCAGTAGAGAGTGAGATGGTTAGATAGCATCACTGATTCAACAGACACGAATCTGAACAAACTCCAGGAGATAGTGAAAGACAGGAAGCCTGGTGTGTTGCAGTCCAAGCAGTCTCAAAGAGTAGGACATGACTCAGCGACTGAACAACAACCTCCTCAAACAGCACACAGCACAAGGCCAAATACACAATTAATTCTCCAAAAATACATGTCAACTCATAATGCTTTAGTCACAGATTCAAGTAAGGAAAAGGTAACTTCTACCCCCTAAGGATCAGCCAAAAACAGCTACTTTTGAAACATAATGGCAAAGATAAAAGACCCAGTTCTAAGAAAGATAAGTTAGGGCAACAATGGGACTAAGTCTTTGCACTATTTCCCACAATTCATCAGACAAGTTCATATTAATCATTAGGCTCTTTCTGGGCTTCCCTGGTGGCTCAGATAGTAAAGAATCTGCCTGCAATGTGGAAGACCTGGGTTCGATCCCAGGGTTGGGCTTCCCAGGAGGGGGCAGTGGTAAAGAACACGACTGCCAATGCAGGAGACATAAGAGACATGGGTTCAATCCTTGTGTCAGGAAGATACCCTGGAGTACGGCGTGACAACCCACTCCAGTGTTCTTGTCTGGAGAACCCCCAAGGACAGAGAAGCCTGGTGGGCTACAGTCCATGGGGTCTCAAAGAATCAGACACGAGTGAAGGAACTTAGCACACATCTAGGTCCCTTCCATCCATTCGATAGTTTGAATTTTGGAAGAAAATTCTGTCACCTATAAAATTACCCAAAACATCAGCTTTTTAACTTTAGAGTGCTTTAGAGAAAAACACCCACAAAAATAAGTGATTTCTCACCCTCTTCCTTTCAATGTGTTCCTTCTTCAGAGAAGGACTAAAATCAGTTTAAAAATTTTAATTTTATACATTAAATCATTCTTCTTCATGAGTGGGAATGTGGCTACTGGAAAGGTTGTCTTGATGTGGAAGCTAGAAAAGTAAGAGAGTTAATTTGGGGAACCAAAAATTTTCTATTTTAAAATGAGCATTACCAATAGGGAACACATTCTATCTATCAAAAGAAATCCTAATAATAAGGAGAAATCGTGTCATATTATAGAAATAAAAAACAGTGGCAGTCAAAGAGAAAATTGTCATGTTTTGCAGGATATTGACAGTTTTAAAAAAAAGGAGGCGGCTTCACTGGGTACAGTAGTAATTTCCCATGACTTTTTAAAGATCTGTCAACACAAAAGATCACCATGAATTACATCAATTGGCTGTCAGTCACTTTTGAAATGTTTCATTGCTGAGCATAGAAGAGACTATTAAAACACTCTAGGATTACAGTAGATACCATGTCATTTTCAAAGGGAATATCTGTCTGTTAATGAGGTCTAAGTGATCTCTACTTCTGAATGACAGCTAACCAAAATCCTTAAAAGGGCATTTACAAATGTGAAGCCAGATGCTTTGGGAGTTATTTTGAACTTAAGGGTGAAATGAAGCAATTTCTTATATCAACTTCCATCAGAGTTTGAGCTCCTTTGATATTTTTAACCCATACTACCCACTCTCTTTTAAAAATAT